CTGTTTGGCTAACATGCATAAAAAAGTTTCGATAGAGGGTTTCAAAGGTGGCATCACTGTGGATTTGCGTAATGAGTAGCAATACCACTCACATTTAGAATTGCTGAAAAGACTTCATGTTTCTCCTGTAATCGGGGAGTTCCGTTAGACATATTCTATTGCAGCATGGGTCCCATTAAACTCTATCGGGGTCCCATTAATACAAACTGGAACCTGTCATCATGGCAGCAGGTAACTTCAAATAGACAGAGGTGGTTAGAATGTTTGGAGCCATCACATGGACTGTAGAACTGGACCGTCCCATTGAAGCATGCACTTTCAATGGGGCACCATTTACACCCCAGTTGAACTCCACTAGACCCCCCTTTGGCTCCCATTGCTCCCAAGTGGAACATCCAATTGGACCCCTTAACTTTTTTTGACTGGGAACAGACACAGCACAGACACCGACTGGACACAAGAATGTGCCACTCACTGCCAGAAAAATGGAAAGTTTGTCCTTGAAACATAACTTTGCAGCCAAGTCGTTGCCTAAATACTAAACTCATCACAGAAACACTTGCGCCAGTATCTATCAATGCCATAGTGGCAACGTCGTCGACAAGTACATGAACCTTATTCTGATACGAGTAACTGGTGGAGGCATACTTTGATGAAAATCGGTACGTCCAGCGACCTCACCTCCGTCGACCGGGCTGGCTCGTTTCCCGGTGATGGAGACGATAGCTGTGGCTGATGCCATGGAGACGGTAATCGAGGCGGATGTGTGGTGGGCGGGGTTTAGCTGTGTAGAAACCCGGGCGAATCACTCTGGTTGATCGTCTGGTAGGCGTGCCACTCGTTAGATGGGTTGGGGGGCCAGTAGGTGTAGTCAGGCTGTCGGCTTCGGCTTGCAAACATCGCGGATCGCCGAGGGAATGTCGAACGTCGATTATGTCGCATTGGGCGAAATTGGGCGATATGACCACGAACACCGCACTAATAGCAGACGGGCCGTTCACGAGGCATAGAGAACGTCCTTGAATGTTAAGGGTGCACGATGCTCTGTTCCCACGGAGACGCAAAAGAAGGTGGACTGTAACCGTTATGACTGCGGGGAGCATTAGGCGGCTCTACATAAGGAGACGTCTAAGGTTGAGCCCGTAGCTGAGGGCCACGGCTGGGATAGCTGCGCTTGTCGAAACTCGCAGCATTAATGTTTGTGGACGGTGTATAGCACGGGGGTTCTCGGACGTTCATGGGTACAGAAACGTGACGACGAAGCTCCTCTCGTGCAGCGAATCGTTCACGAAAGGTCGGCAGCCAAGAAATCTTGGCACACATCGACTGTGGTGATGGTCGTAACATTGGCCAGTCGTCCGAACTTCGTAGTGATGTGGCGAGTCTTCAGGGTCTCAAACGTTCGGCAGTGCCCGATCACATTCACCACAAAATCAAGACTCTCCTTGCCGATGAGGAAGTGGTAGACGTCTTCTGCAGTTCCTTTGAGAATGTGACCCATCTTGTCCTCTTCCGCCATGTTGGCATCCACACACTTGCACAGCTTCAGAACCTGTTTAATGTAGGTTCCGCAAGTCTCACCACAAGGTGGAGCACTCTGCGACAACATTTGCTCTGCACATTTCTTCATCGCAGGGTCGCCGAAGCACTTCTTGATCTCCTCCATGAATTGTTCCCATCTTGTCAAGGTGTCTTTGTGATTCCCAAACTATGCATTCCAGCCATTAACTTAGCTCACCCGTTGATAGTGGCTGAGCTATTTTTCAACGTTATCGCCAAGTTTCCCTGTGAATGTACGAGGCTCTCGGTAGTGGAAAGGTGGCGCCCTCGCGATTGGCTGCTGGATGTTGCCGTCCAAGTTGTGGGGTCTCAATATAGCCAACGACACGCCACACTCTTGGAGTGAACGGACGCAGCAGACGTGGTCAGTACAAACCAAAGAACAATACACATTTATTTAACTAATTTACAACAATGATATCGTCCATCAAATTGATATGTCAATCGTTAACAACACGCTAGGACATCTTTACACGATATCCTTACACACACACACACACACACACACACACTCCAAAACAAAAACAATAACATGACAGACGAACACACAATAACATGACAAACACAATAACACACACAAGGCATCGTCGCCAACGCTTGACTTACCATGAGGGCCCCCCGGCGTGCAGCCTGAGGTGCCACGCACGGGGGATCCACGCTAGAGACAACCATTCGCGACAGCTGCCACGCGCAGAAGACTCGCTCAGCTCTCGCCCGCCACCAATGCTTGCCTTCCGTGAAGGGTCACCGCCGGCGCTACCATTCTACCAACCATGATGATGATAGTGGTGCTCAATGCGAACACAACGCCATCTATCGCCCGGTGGTTCTCACCCTCAAAATGCAGCTTTTGGGCGAGACATGTGCGCCAAGCGGCGCAAACAACTTTACAGGGGGTGTCAGCACCCCCACAAAGTTAGTTCATTTCTTGAGGTAGGGGTGGCAAGCCCGCTAGTCGACGGCTGCGGCGTAGCTCATGCTCTTGCGGTTTTGTCGTTAGTAGATGGCTGCTCTCCTGTCTCGCTTGACAGTGGCTGGCTTACCCAGCACCTTCCACCACATTTGTGACGATTGAGCGCGTTTATTTACAGAATGGAATGATTGCGATTGGTACAGCTCAGAGCCAGAAACAGAAGACCCAGCTGCTCGTGAGCCAGACCCACTTCGACCTCGTCCTCATTATGCACCCATCGAAGTGTGTCAATATTTTTGTTGTTCTACTACCTATATTTTTTGGAAAGAGCATTTCATTCTGCAAAATTTGGTATGCTGCAATGTGTGCTGGAGTACTTTTGAAACTGGCAAAAATGATCTTCCCAAGATATATGAAAAACAACCATTCTCGCGTGGTAATGAAAGAGTTAAGACCTGCAGATCGCGCATCAGACATACCAATGCACTCGCAAGCGCCGCCCAACGAACCCGATCAGCGCGATGCAAAAATCATTAAGAACTTGTTAGAACGCGCCCGAAAAATGATCAAAATTTGCTAGGAAAAATGCACTTTCTTGGCTTCAGCGTGGCACAGTGTTTGATATAGCCGAGCTTCCGCTGTGCAGGGATTGGATATACGAATGCATCGGTCCCTTACTCTTGCATGGGAATTCAAGGGGATTTGTCAACTGTTCGATATAGGCAGTGATTCGATATATTCGAGTTTGATATATCCACGATCGACTGTATTAAAGGGGCCCTGCAACACTTTTTTAAGTAGCCATGGAATGCATTCATGAAGGAGCTGAAGGAGCCTCGCAACTTGACTGCCGCAAAAAGTTTTTGGATCCATCTAGTATGAGCCGAGTTACGAAGTGCTCGTTGTGACCTTGAGCACTTTTCCTCTTCTTTTTTTTTTTTCTGAAAGCGTGGAGATTTAGTGCGATCACATGCGCAAGTGTGGACAAGTCATGGCCTGCTGCGGTGGCCCCAGTAACGACTGAGAATGCCGTGCTCTAGTCAACTAAGGGCTGATACTTGGCCTGTGACTCATTGGTTTTTGAGCCTCTATCATCATTTGTCAAAAGAAAAGAAAGTGGTTTTTAACTGACCTTAAGAATTTATTGTAAATTCCATGCTGGGGGGAGGGGGTTGCTGTGGAATATTTGGCTCGCGTGTTCTTGGGAGCCTCGACTACCAAAAGGAATACCTGCCAAGTCTCCTGGATCTTTTGAGAGAGTACGGTTGGCTGAAAAATCTCCCAGAAGTTGAAATTTTTGTGTATGGTCAGGCCCCATTGACAAAAATGCAACTCTGTCCGCACACCTATTGCTTCATCATTGTATTGTAATGTAAACCAATTTAAGAGACAGTAATGTAAATGTGCTGCAGAATCTCAATAGTGCACAACCAGCTGATACGAATTCGTATGTTCAAAACACTTTTTTGTGTCTGAGTGGGTGGTGCCAACAGTGGTACCAAGCCATCAAGCAAAGGACATGCTGAGGAAGTACACGCGCGGCCAGTGCACACACTGTCAGAGCTGTGGTTATCATTTGCCATAACCGCTGTAGACAAAATCGGGGTCACTCTTGACACAGTCTTGTATGGTGACAACGAAACTGAATGAACTCCGACAGTGAATGCACGTCCAACGTTCCCTGACGCAGCACTGCACAAACAGTGCAGGAAAAACAGTAGCACGTGGGATCATAAATATCAACAAATGGCTCAGTTTTGAAGGCACCAGTGTGGCGAGCGAAAATGGATTAAAAAGGGCTGTACTGTTGGCCGAAGCTTCCACGCACAACACTGCGATGGCCACTACGAGCTACGACAGTGCCGATTATAGTATAATGGCGCAAAGTGTTTTGGTGTTTCTGTCGAACTTCGCTTATGACTATGGTGGAGTGGGCTTAGATATAAGTTGGTCTTAAGTGAAAGTTTCCCTCATGTTTTTACAACAGCCAGCTGCATTGTCTGTTCACATGTTTCAAAAAAGGAGGCATGCAAGTTCTTTTGTTGAAAATAAATGTTTTGTGTGTATATCATTACTTGAAAAAGAGTTTTGATTGTTTTTTGATTATACGATATTTGGAGCAGTACGAATATTTTCGCAACCACTTAAGAATCAAATTACTGAGGTTGTAGTGTAGTTCGGAAGTTTTCTATAAATATTTCTGTAGTACATATACATCCGCTTTGTTCATAAGCCCAGACTGCAACAACACAAATTTTTTTGTAAAAAGGGCTCTTATTCTCTCATTTTCTCTTATTTCCCAAAACTCCCAAATTCAGATTTTTGGAACTTGGCAGGAATGTAGTGTTGTAGGGCCTGTTTAAGCCACATAATTTAATTGATTTTGTAATCATTTTGCTATATTTAGAAGTTCTCTTTCTGGGATGCTTATTTTGAGCTTTCGGTACTAAACATGTTCCTTCTGATGTTGTACAGTGATGTAACTATCATGGTGGGACTCGCCCTGCAATACTCTTTTGTTCAGGCCCGCAGAAGCAGCAGGGAGCTTCAGATGAGTGCCCCAGCCTCGCTGTCGTGCAGCAGTGAGGACTTGCACCGGCTGGCCGAGCTCTCGATTCATGGTGGAGCTGCTGGAGACGCACTGGCCTCTACCCCATCTTGGACACCTGGTGACTCTAGTTTCTCCTACAAAAGCAGCAGCATCACAAGCGGATGCATAATGCGTTTCATGTGCTACTCTGAACCACAGCGTATACACCAGAGCACCGCGATCTCAAAGCGTGCTGCCTTATTGAAAATCGCGTCGCGCCATCTGTTGCAAGCACGGCGAAGGAACGCCCAGGCACTGCCAGGCGAGCAGACGCTCTGCAAATCAAACATGAAACTGAACAACCCGAGTCCAGCTGTAAGCATGTTTTGCGCTCTTCCTCTCCTGGAATTCAGTGGTGATTTCGTGTGAAACGTCGAGAAAACCTTCCACGACAGTCCGAAATGTCTACAGCACATGCATTGCAGACTACAAAAGCAACTTCATCTGGTACGTACTATTGTGACTGAAAGAAACTCGAACAGCAAAAAGCGTTGTTTTCGACTCAATCGCCCTGCGGCGTGCCTTGGCTGTGGCAAAGCAGAATTTGTGCTCTAAGTCGGCGTTAACGTAGAGCTAGAATTTCGCTCCAACTTGCGCTCATCCACTACACGCGTTTATCATTTGCCACTCATGCCGGGTCCTGCGAACACACACGTGGTGTGAAAGTGCCAACCAGAACAAGATTTTTAAATACAGTGACGCCGACCGAAAGCACAGATTCTGCTAGTGAGTCAAGGCATACCACAGTTCGACTGAGTCGAAAGCTACGCTTTTCGTGCCGTTCACGTCTCTTTGCATCGCAATAGTACGCCGTTGTAATTGTATACATGCGTAGTGCTTGCATTCACGTGCGAGTCGTAATACATCCTATTACTGGTATGCATCTGGCGAAAGAGTAGGGCAATGATTTGGTACTGCATACTATACAGGCATACTGCACGCAAATCGCTGCTGTAAAGTGCTTGACAGCTGATGTCGCGCTTGAGTAAATGCAATAATTGTATTTACTCGTGCACTTTCTTTACTGGACAAATTTTGTTTTTCCTCCCAATTGGGAGTATGTCCTCTGGCAGCAGAGCTCGGCATTTTTTGTTGCGGATGAAAATCTGTGCAATCGGAAAGCATCGCTTCGGCGCGATTGACGCACCGTGTTGGGGTCTCCACATACAATGCTGAGTAATATCTTACTCTTGCACTGGTTGTTTTTGCATCCGAAGATGGCGCAGTGGTACCCAAAAGACTTCTTATAAGCTGGCGCAGCCTGAACAGGCGCTTTTTTTACATTTTAAAGTCCTAGAGCCACTGCTTGCCATGCTAGCGAGGCACGCCTTGGCAATTCAAAACAAATTATGGCGTCTCTAGGAGCGAAAGCATACTGCCGAAGGCGCCTGGATAGGAGATAGGCGTGCTCTCGTCTATAGACGTAAAGACAGAGTAGTATGTTCTATTTAACTGGATTTTCGTTTACTGAGAGATCAATAAGACTGTAAAGTACAAGTACAAAACCAGGCATAATAGACGCAGCTGTTTCATTTGAGGAGCAGTTTAATTTAAAAAGGGATTTCCTTTTACTGAGAGTCTACTGTATTGGAAGTGAAAAGACAGACACAGCACCCATTTGCTGCGCCAGCTGTTCCATTTGGTTCCGTGCTGTGTAAGCCTGGAAACCATTTCTGCCTCTTCAACTTCAATCATCACAACACACATGTGTGCACACACGTGCACACAGAGAGGGTGTTTTTTTTAGATAGAACATAATTTTTAAAGATTTTTATGGCAGCCACGCTGCACTTGTTTTGCCCATGTCTTCTATGTTGAAGCAAAAATGCATTGCCGCAACTAAAAGTACCCCGATTAGACTAATCAACAGAAACTCGTTTGTGAACATTTTAATTATTGATTTGAGGGCAGTTGTTTACATTATAAAGTTGTAGTGCTTGCCAATTTACAGGATACCCATTTTTACGAAAGTTGCATGTAAAAAATGATGATATTGAATTTCGAGGGTAAAGTTGAATCCGGTCACACCCTTTGTGCAAAAAATGCGGCCTATCTGTTATGCTAGCCCGGAGCTACATGCAGCAATCAAGGGACAAGTTTTGAAGGAAGGCATGTCATGTACATCTGTTCATGAAAAGCAGTAAGTCATTGCAATTTCTCCAGCGATTGCCTTACCTTTGCATGCAGTCTCTGGTGCTTATCATCTAAGCATAAAAGTCAAGGACAGCAAGTACAGTGCATCTTCTTGCAGACAAGCAAATAAACTTTAGCCCCAGGAACAGATGAGCACTGCACTAATAGAATATGCTGTCTACTTCATATTTCCGAATTCTTGCAGATTTTATTCACCATATTTTGCACCGGTGCATACCTTAATGCAAATTTTGTCACTTTCTAGTCACATGTAGGTCCATGCTTACATAACAGATAGGCTGCATTTTCTGCTCGCTGGGCACAGTCAGTTTCGATTTTGCCCTTAATGTTTGATGATGAGTATCTTGAAAAAATGCAGCATTTGCGACTTCTAAAAAAATAGGTATGCTATAAACTTGCACGCACTACAATTTTTTAACGGGGTCAACTGCTTGCTCTCAACTCAGTAAGTAGGAAGATAGTTTAGGATTTTTTCGTCATTAATCTCATCAGTGTCATTTTAGTTATGGCCAAGTATTTCTGTGGTGGCGTGTGCAAAAACGACTGGAGCATAGCTGCTATAGATTTTTGTACTAATCTATTTTGTCTAAAAAAAGTATACTTTGTATATTATTTCGATGTGTTTTTGATAAGTCAAGGTTCGTTTGCTTGAGTTGTGGTGAAGAGACGGTGTCTTTTGCGTCAGTAGTTGCACTTGTTTTTGTTTCACAGGCCACCGCCGGGTTGGGTCAGCCGGCTCCCAGCAATGCAACGTGCCAAGTGCCTCAGGCGACCAGGGTGCTACGCCTACCAGCTGGGCCAGCGGCAGAAGGACGAGCGGCCACCCTCATCCGAGCGTCCACCCGGCCGCGCTGTCGCGGCCAGACCCTTCGCGAAAGACTTCCTGGCCGGCTACACCAGGTAGGACGGTGTGCGTCAAAAGAGTGCGCTAAGTTGGCACTACTGAAAGAATCTCACGGCTTTGTTCATCCCTGTTTCGTACCACAGCCCCATTTGTTTTGAGGCTTCTCACTGGGAAACTGGGCCTATACATTGCTTGGAATTGCATCGTTTAACCATCATTAGAACCTAATTTAATCGCTGCTCACTATAGATGGTTTCAAATATTGAGAACTTTTACTTGTCGCCTGAAAATAGCGCTAAGAAACGGGAACACAAGAAGAGGACACACGGCACAGGCGCTGTGCCATGCGCCTGTGCCGTGTGTCCTCTTCTTGTGTCCCCGTTTCTTAGCGCTATTTTCAGTCGTCACAATGCACCAACAAGCCCAAATTTCGACAGTGTTTACTTGTCGGTGTAGCATTATGAATTAAACAACACACATCAATGGGAACACAGAGAATGTGAACATGCAACAGTGCCCTTTAGCGGTGCATATTGTGGCATAAACACATAAGCTACTACTTTGAATGTAATGAAAGTTTTGGCCACAGCAGTGGTGCAACAGCTGCGTCGATTGCGCCAATTTGATGCAGTTTCGGATTGTTTAGCCTTGCTGCGCCAAAACCGCGAAGTTTGCTGAAATTGTGCCACGCTGCACCAAAATGCCCAGCCAGCCTCAAAGTTTACTCACGTGCGCTAATTTCAGTGAGAAAAGCAGGCCATGTCCACCACCCGCAGTTTGCGTCATCTGTCAAAGCACGCAGATTCCAATTATAGTGCCTAGAATGTACTTAAAATATAACCGAATAAAGTAACAATGCTGCGCACCCATTGGTCCGTTGACCGCAGCGGATACTTATAAGAGGGACAACGAAACTTGAAGACAAAAATGCATTGCTGTAGCTTCCAGTGCTTCGCGGGAAGTGTAAATTTGTCTAACCTGAAAACGCATCTGTGGCTTGTTAGAAACTAAAGCTGGTAGTGTATGCTACGTTTTCCTCGCTTGAACAAGCTCGACATGCATCAAACGCCACCTTTGCCAGCGAGCACATCGATTTCCTTAGCAGTGGCTCATAAAACATTTTTATTGTTGTGTTTTGAAGTTGCCTCGTCTCAGCCACGGTCCTGGGGATAGATATCTGTTATCGTCACCAAGCCAACGGGCGCACGTTGTCGTTAATTTAGTGTTGAACGTGCTTTGCAAGAGAGCCGAAGCAGCGCGTAACTCTCAGCGAAAGAATAAAAAAAGTAGGAATTGGGAGGGAGGCGTAGCGGTTTGAAAATTTCTTGGCTTTGGTTCTAACCTGTGCAGAGAATGGTGCTTAAGTTAGCTTCGCCGAAGTACACCGGTGTCTAGCAAAAAAGTGTATAGAGATTTGGAAGGGGCTGTTAACGCAATTCACAAGACACTGCACATTTTGCTAGGTTACTCATGCATTTGTACGCCACATAATTCTGAGTACGAGTATAATAACTGGCATCTAAATGAGCTACTGGCAACTATATGGAACAGTGTATGACATTTTCTTCCCTAAAAAAAAAAAAAACTATATTTTGGGCCAGTTTTTTTTTTTTTTTTTTTTGCCACCCCTACTTCTCTGTTTTACTAATCTCCCAAATTTTATGGTCTCGAGCTTGCAGATTGATATCTAAATTTGCAGAGTCAGTTTGACACGCGCAGCAAATGCTAATACGGACTTCATCACTGTTTGCTCAGTTGGGTGGTTCAGAATACTACTTTCGTTGAAATAGCAGTGCTCGTGTTCATACTGCATGATTTAGGTTATGTTGAATGCTTTATGCATATTTATTTTTTCAAAATGTAAGCCTTTTTATTTATACTGATCCCAATTTGATATTTCATGATAAAAACATGTATGGGGGGGGGGGTGTTTTTCCGCTAACCTGCTCCAAATTTGGATTTTAGTGCTCCAAAAGTAACATTTTGTTGCTTCTATAATTGCTCCAAGCTGTATTTCCGCTGTTGCACCCCTGGGCCACAGCAGTCACATTTCGGTAGAAGTGAAATGATAAGAGGCCCGTCTACTGTGCAGTGTCGGTGCACCTTAAAGAACACCAGATTGTAAAAATTTTAGAGCCCTTCACTACTGTGTTTCTTGTAAATGTATTTGAGATGTAAAACCTCATAATTATCAATGTAATCACGGTTTGTGAAAACCTGTGTTGCCAAGTATGCCATGTCTTGAGATGATGGCTCCTAGTAGGTTGCCTTCGCTGTGGGCCATCCAGGCACACACCTGGATGGGCGTGCCCAAGATAAAAAGGCCCACTTTACAGTAGAATTCAGATTATACGAATTCGAAGGGAGCATGCAAAATATTCGTATCATCTTAAATGCGCATGAACAAGTTGAAGCTGATCATGAAGATAACCAAGAAATTTATTGGGGTCAACTATCTGCTAACAAAAAGTCCATAATGTTCTTTGAACTTTCCTCGTTTCACCGCCTCTCAATAAAGTGCCGTGGAAGCGAAAGGGGCAAAACTTATTGGAAATTCACTCACTTTGCCGCTTAAGTGGCCAGGAAAACGCGCCACCTTGACAACAACACTGCAGCAGCCGCAAGACCACGTCTATGTTCGTTGGAAACGCTCACATTCGTTCTGTTCCTCGCATACATGCCTTCGCTGCTGGAGAATTTATCATATTTCATGGGCACGGTAGACCCAAAGCTGCCATGTCGCTAAACTGAATGCTTCTCTGCTTGGTGCAGGTTTTTCTTGGCTTCGGTGCTTTTGAATGCGCGCAGCCACTTTATACGTCTTGCGACGACACGAGCCAGCTCATCAGCGAAGGCCCCCAGTTTTCAACGATTTGGTCACCCGACGACGCAATTCTACTGGCCTTTCTTTTCAAGCATCACAGCGTGACGTCATTATATGGTGCCGCTATAAAAGAGCACCGGCACGATTTCGTCTTCTGTGGGCACAGTGGACCCAAAGCTGCCATGTCGCTAAACGGAACGCTTCTCTGCTTGGTGCAGGTTTTTCTCAGCTTCGGTGCTTTTGAATGCACGCAGCCACTTTATGAGTCTTGCGACGACACGAGCTAGCTCATCAGCAAAGGCCCTCAGTTTTTAACGCTGTCGTCACCCGACGACGCAGTTCTACTGGCCTTTCCTTTCAAGCATCACAGCGTGACGTCATTATCTAGCGCCGCTATAAAAGAGCACTGGCACAATTTCGTCTTCTGTGGGCACGGTGGACCCAAAGCTGCCATGTCGCTAAATGGAACGCTTCTCTGCTTGGTGCAGGTCTGTTCCTGTTTTAGTTCAATACGTAATGATTGTCGAGGCTTAGTGGTTCTGCCGTGCCCACAGCGTTGTTTTGTAATGGCGTATGACTGTTTTGTCATTTGCAAACTACTAATTTGCGGTGATGTCGAGGAAAACCCTGGGCCCACCCAGAAGGAACTGTACGAGCAACTACTTGAAGGTCAGACAGAAATGCGAAAGGAACTACTTGAAATTAAAACACTATTTTCTGAGCTGAGAGAACAGATGCTTGACTTTAGGCGTACTGTCGGAAATATAGCGACTGAGCGCTCAGCACAGCATGAGAACACCCATCAATTGCATGTCACATTGAAATCATTTGAACATGCAATGTCTTTTCAAACTAAAAAGCTAACAGACCTTGAAGACCACAGCAGGCAGTTCAAATGTAATTATTCATGGAATATCTGAGACCTCAGCAGAATCAGAAGAGGAACTAAAGGACTAGGTCGTGAAGGGTCTTTTTCAAGAAAAACTTCAGGTTAAATCTGAATCTGTTGGGCGTATCCATCGACTGGGTAAGCACGTAGGAAAGCGGCCTGTAATAGTGTATCTGCATGACTTTACAGAAAAGAAAGAGATAATGGAAAACGCAAGCAAACTGAAGGGCTCAAATATCTTTGTTAAGAATGATTACTCCAAATCAACGCCAAAAAAACGCAGTCTGCTCTGGCACAGCGCAAAGGCCGAGATAGAACAAGGGAAAAGAATCAACCTGATACACGATAAACTAAAGATCGATAAAGACATGTATTTTTGGGATGAGGTGCAAAATAGGCGGGTAAAAGTGACCGGCTACAAGAACACCGTACCCCAACAGTCTAAAACCTGACATAATGTGCATGCGCACAAGCAACTTTGTCCTACTTAATTTGAATGCTCGCAGTGTTATGAATAAAACCGAGCCCCTCGAAATCCTATTACTGCAGTACGATCCTCACATTACTGTTATAACTGAGACGTGGTTACATAAACAGGTGAATGATGGCGACATTTTTCCACCTTCCTATACGGCTTTTCGTAAGGACAGGCAATCAAGGGGAGGGGGTGTGGCCGTCCTGATCCAACAAAAATTTGATGCTGTCTTGTTGGATGATGTACCGGAACTTGAATGTACCTGTATTAAAGTAATCTTGTGGGGCCACTCATTCATCGTATGTGCATTATATAGACCGCCGGACTCAACTCTTGAATACCTATTAAAACTAAAAGAACACATGTCTAAATACCATGGCCACAAAGTTCTTTTGATTGGCGATTTAAATCTCCTTGGAGTAGATTGGGAACGTTTTGAAACCTTTACAGCCAATATCAGCAATGGAAATGCAGTGTTTGACATCATGCTCGCACATGATTTGGTACAATTGGTTCATGAACCAATGCATTATCAGGGTACTGCTAAATCTATCTTAGATCTGGTATTTATTCCCAGTGATTTCAGTACACATACTGTAGTAATTGATCAAGGGCTGTCTGATCACTACCTTGTGTCAGTTTCTATTCCTCTGGTACCGCTTTCGGAAAATGCCAACTCATCCTTTCATTGTGTGAAAGACTATACACGTGCCAATGATGCTTGCATTATCGAGCACCTAGAAACCTGTCTGATAGATTTTGTAGCTACCGATGTTTGTAGATTGTGGGACCAATTTAAATGCATATGCTTCTACTGTATCCAAAAATTTATACCGCCTAAACGTAAAAAGGTGCATAAACATACGTC